GGGTACAGGTGATACCACGGCCGGCTTCCACTCCTATACATCCTTCCCCGCGATACAGTGAACCCTTCCTGCTAAGGCTGAGCCGCAGCAAAGGGAAGGGTCCTACAAGCAACTAGAAAGGTTGCTGCCCTGTCTTCCGTGTTTCTCTAACTCCCTAGCCCACCATTCGTCCCAAAACCTTACTGGAGTCTTTGCTAGACGGAGTCGAAACAAGCACGTGCTGGATTCGCCTGTTGCGAGGGCGCAGGCAGTTTTGGACTAAGCGGATGTGATTTCGTGTTCAGGAGGTTGAACTATCACTTCACTCGTGGAAGTGATAGGGTTAATTGTGGTGACTCTCAAAAGATTCACTTTCCTTCGAATGAACTTGAACACATTCAGAATGCGGGAGCTTTGTAAATGTTTGAGTGCCTGTTTGTTACTTTTCACATGTATTGCCGTTATTTATTACATGCCTTTTCTTTTTTTTGCTTTTGTTTTTTCTTGGAACACTTACCTCATTTCCTTTTTTCTAAGGTGAATATCAACAGTCGGATGGCGGCACATGGTGCCGGCAGATTATCACGAGTATGCATGCTTTTGCCAAAAAGATCATGAGTGGTGAAAGGAAACTTCCAGGTACCGTGCTTTTTGTTGGCCTGTTGCAGCTGTCGTCCTTCTCATTTATTACTTGATGACTCATGACTTTTCTTTAGTTCCTCCCGATGCTTGGTATCATTTCCCGATATCCTGCGAATCGGAAAAAGGACGTCGTCCGAAACAAGAAGATCGGATGCTTGCTATGCCAACATTGAGCCTTGTCTTTCCGGAAGTGGTTAGGGTAGGTGTCTTCCGGATTTTCTGATATAGGATTTATTATTGTTCTTCATAGAATGTTGAGTAACACCTTTATCTCTTGATTGTTTTCGAGAGCAATGTAAATGGATTGCCATTTACAGTCTGATGTGGCTCTAATGGCTGTTTTCGATGGACACGGGGGTGCTGAATGCTCTGCTTACTGCTGTGCACATTTACCTGCAGAGTTTGTGCGTGCTTTGAATGCGGATCCGACTTCATTAGAAGATTCGTTAAAGAAAGCATTCGAACGGCTCGGTATGTTCCCAGTTTCCGGAATATTACAATATATGATAACAGTTTATACGTGCTAGTTTACTGAAGGAAATGTGCTCGGTCCTCGTGCTTATCATTAGCTTGTGAGCACCCCTCTCTCTTGTACTGCCCCATTGTTCATGACATAGATCAGTTTATGATGAAAAAATTCGGTCACTGTTCAGATCAGTTTTCGACGGAAAACTCCGGGCACTATTCAAACCATTGCTGCCCCAAAACCTCAAAATTTTTGTGCTGAAACTTTACCTATACGTGGTATGCCACGCTACGGCCACGAATATGTTATTTATTATTGGCACAGGCGCAAAAGGAGAGCACTCTGGTCGTCTGTGCTCTGCGAAGACTTAGCCTGGTCTTGATGGAATCACTCCTTCTCCCGGATCCGTCTTAGCACAGCGCTAAATAGCGTCAGCGCCAAAACCGAATGTCATATCCATGATCACGGCACCGAACTGCCACGTACAGGCAAAGTTTCAGCAATATTTTCTGAGTTTCTGGAGTAGTAATAGTGCCGAAATTCCTTGCAGAGGCTCGGTTCACGCAAACATTTAGCCCGGAGACACTAGTTTTCTGAATATGAATACCATGTCTGCCTGAAAAGAAGGAGGCCGGGCAACAGGAGAAACAGGCCAGCTTTGGCGTTGGCGCCCGCTCCTGTTGCATAGGTGTGAGACGCTTTCGCCAC